GGGGGGGGGGGGGGGGTAGGGGGTACTCATGTTTTGCATGCCTTAAAGTTCCTTAATGGTACGAAGAATGGGAGGGGGCGGGGGCGGGTAGTCATGTTTTGCATGCCGTTTAGACCAAGGGGGAATTCAGTTGTTGCTTGCCTCAAGTCGTTCGACCATTGACCCTATTCCCCATCCGAAGACTTCGAGCTCTCCCGTGTGGCCTTGCCTGGCACGCTGTACGCAAGACAAGTAACGGCTTGGTTTGTGCACACGGAGCAATCACTATCTCTCCTGTCCGGCATGTGCTCTTGGAGAAGGAGAGAATACGTGCCCATCAACACGATGGTGGGATAGACCCGCGCTCGTCCACTCAATTTGTCCTGATCTACACTTCTCTCTCTCGCTTCCTTTCTCTATCGAAATGTTCAAAGAGACAAGCATATGGAATGACATATGCCGCGTACCTTTCCCATCAAACTCGAGGTTAAGCTGGACATCGGCTGCGTTCACAGGAGGTTGCGTCTCCCTCGAACCATGCTGGTTGTCCCCACTCGGCTGGAAAGGTAGTTCCGGCGACGGGGCGCTGTTGTCCCCCTTGGGAGAGAGAGGCAAGAAAAGGGACGGGGAGGGGAGGGGGGGGCGTACACAGATGGATTGAGCTCAAAAAGGGAGCAGAAATTTCCGCCCGGACTTGACCCCCCTGCTTACGATTATTGCCAAAAAACTGTTGATATATGATTGCAAAGGGTACTATTACATCGTAGTTCTACTCGTTTTTGTGTCGGTATCTTGGTCGCTGATGGAGCTGAATGTAAACCACACCGTTTTGTGCCATAGACTACACCATAGAAGCTCCGGAAGGGCTGCGCTAATCGGAAATAAGGCCAGTCGGATACACAGCACGCAAGAGAACAACTGAACTGCGAAAGTATGAAAAAGAAGGGGCGCTCTTAATTCAGTCCGTCGGCTATAATAGTTGCTCCGCGGGGAACGGAGGGAGTGCTCGTCAAACGCTGGTATACGACGAGGAAACTTTCTACAATCCGGCCCTGTCCGCTATCGGCCATCGGTCGGGCTGTTCCCCTTGCGACCTTATCTCGAAGTAACTGTTGCACCATGAACACCGATTTATTGTCTACAGGAGGGAGAAAGAAGTACGAATCGACGGCGTGTCACTGCAAGGCAGAGGACCACAACAAGAAGGCGACGAATCATGTTCGAAATACATCGACACAACCCTTGCCCGTCTAGAACGCCCGAAAGTTGGCAGGGGGTGGGTGGGTGGGCGGTATCTGTTGGACGCGTGCGAAGCGGGTGGGCACAACAACGTGGAAACCGACTCGCGGGTGGTCGTACCTACTCCGTGACTTGCGTGTTGCGTGATTTTCGCAAAAACAATGTGGGAGGACCACGAGGTGTTACTCAGACGTCAAGCCTTGACAACTACCGCCATGTGGCATTACTGCCGACAAACCACATGCCATGAATGCGAACCCGCATTGGTTTTACCGCCTCTGCCGTGTAGGAGTCATCACCGCAAAATTCGCTGTGTGCTGCTCGGGAAATCGTGGAAATACAGGTAGCCTTCGCTGACGCTATGGATTTATTGCTAATCTATCTTATTATAGACCCTTTTCTTAGTAGAGATGGATTCGTCGGGCCATACTTTTCTCGAACGGTCGGTGCGGTACGTGTGATTTCCTTTGTATCATTTTGTTTTCTTTTTCGGAGTGGTTTGTACCCTATTTTTGTTTCGTTTCCCCGCGGCGTCGTATGTGCCGGGTTTTGAGACCACGGGCTCCCAATGTTTTGTGGACTATAGAGCTATTGTGAGAAACAACAACAACTTCAAAAATAATAATAAAAAAACAAATAACATGCAACACCTACCGCCGAAAACATCACTGTCGTCGTAGACCACGGCATTACCGCCGAAAATGTGTACAAAGTACACCCTTTAAAAAATAGTTTCCGAACCCTAGCAAATTTCGCACTCGATCTTGACCATACATGGAAGCACGTGTAGTGTAAATAGTCGTGAGTCGTGAGGGATCACACAAAGAAAATGAAGCCTTCTTCAAGGCGAAAAAACAACAGATGAACGTATCGGGCGCCACCTTTACGAGGTAGGCACATTCTTTCATACGCGCATGCATGCATACACGTCGGAAACTAGCGATTTGTTTTGGGGATTTTAAACAAGTGTTCATCTCTTCTACCACGGATGGATGAGAGTCCGTGACATAGTCTAGGCTACATTGCTAACAAGCTAAGCTTATGATTAAAGGATTACCAACTGCTGTATGAAGGCGGTTCCGCGAGCTCGGCCTTCTCAAATGTTCTTGTTGCTATCTACCTACATATATAAGAGTAAAAAACCCGATCCGGTCTCCAAGCGCAGCTGTGTAGCTGCAGCCCCTGAATTTGTTGGTCGGTGGTCGGTTCTTCCATCTACTTGTTAAGGTTGCACATCATGCGGAGGGCGCTGGAGAATAAAGCGCTTGGAGCGGCGGAATACGACTGCCGGTCCAAGCGCCGACGGTAACAACAAGTCACGGGTACATAGGTCGGAGAAGAAGAATAACAGGCGCGAGGAACGTCCTTGGAACGATCGGAAGAGGACAGAGAGAGAGGGAAAGAGCCAGGAAGACGACGATCGGTGCTGGTTTCTGAATCAAACATTATGTCTGCATGCCTCTGCCGTTGTCGTTGCCGTCGCTCTACTGCTCCTGTGTGCGGAAGGAAAGTAGGGAGCGACTACACATGAGTCCTGCCACAACCTCAGTCGGTCGGCTCCCCTATTGGGTACCTGCAAATCAACGGTGTCCGGTGCGCGAGCGTTCCGGTGTGGCAAGTTGCCCCACGGGCGCACAAGAAAGCGCGCAGAACATTTTTCCACCCCAGCAGAGGCAGACGACATGTTTGTTTTTGGGGCTTGGAGACGCGGCGCGCGCCGCTTACTGCTGCTGCGGGGTGCCATCATGCCGACGGCAGCGGCAACAGAGAGGGATAGCGACAGCAGCAGCTCCCACCACCAGGGCTGATAACGAGACACTCCAAAGGCACGCGCTTCCACACGTACTCGGCGGAAGAACCGATCCCACAGCTCTCTCCGCTGCTGCCCGACACAAACAAGCTGTTTCGCGGTTCGTGCGGTGCAATGCAAAATATACTGAAATTAGAAAGGAGTGGCCTTGCCTGACTGCCTGAGGGCACAAGTGCAGCGTTCGTTCAGCCCAGAACAGAAGACCTTCGGTTTGTCGCCAAACTGCGCCTCCACGGGGTCGCTCGGCGCGTTTCAACGTGCCATAGGACGAGACACCTCTCCACTCACCGAAAAACAGGATCCCATAGCTGGGTGTGTTGCGGCACTGGCAAGGCCGGGGCACGAGATGGAACGGTTGCTGTTGTTTGCTGTTTTGTGATGTTGCGACGAAAAATCTGTAGCTTGCGTAGGCGGTAGGCCGGAGTGGGGGGCCGGGAAGAAGGATCCGGCGGGGGGGGGGACGGGGGTNGGGGGGGGGGGGGGGGGGGGGGGGGGGCAAGATCACGTGGTGATCGAATGATGATGGATGTGCCTCGTATCCTACTTGTTACGCCGCTGCACGGGGTAGTTGTCGTCGGTCGCCCTCGGGCACCATACAAACTAGCTGTTGAGAGAATGCATGCGTCGCGCGTCGCGCGTAAGCATACATACCATGGGAGAGTTTGCATCCTGCGTGAAAACCACAGCAGTATATATAGACTATATTGCTTGCTGCCAGCGTCGTGTTGCTGTAGAATCACCCGACCAATTGGTCATTTGTGTTCCATAGGTGGCGTAGATAGCGACAGACAGAGAAATCGAGTTTTTTCGTGTCCCATCATCATTTATTCCATTGCGTAGATTTTTGGTCGGTAGATGCAGTGTGCACGGGCTCTACCGGGATAATAGCCCAAAAAAAGCTGCTGCTGCTGCTGTTATGGTTTTGAGAATCCTCCTTCTATCTATGTGTGTTTTTATTATTAGCATCGACCGCGCTAACCGGCTGACCAATGAAAAGACGTCAGTCTTAGTGCGGTTGAAAACACAAAACACTTCTATCTACCATGAACTGGGACCCCGTGAGGGGGCAGCATGGGGGAGGCTAAACTATCCTTCGGAT